CCGCCACATTCTATGCACCCAGTGACCCATCTGGAATCCGTGGAATGCGCCGGGAACGCATCCGTTCGACGCCCTCCTGGAGAGGTACCGGAAAGCGTCGTGACTGCGCTTTTGTCGTCGAGGATGAATCAAAACCGGGATTTCGAGGAATGAGTGCTGTGCGCGTACTCCTCCTTTTCTCTTTCACATACAACGACACTACCTACCCCTGTGCCCTCGTCGAATGGTTCAAGAAGGTCGGCCGCTCTCCAGACAAGATTACTGGCATGTGGAATGTTGTTCCAGAGTGCACGCGTAATGGAGAACGGCTGACCACTGTGATACATTTGGACTCTGTCCTCCGCGCCGCACATCTCATCCCCGTCTTCGGCCGCCAATACCTTCCTCCCCATTTTTCACACACCTGGTCCCTCGACGTCTTCGAAGCCTTTTACGTGAACAAGTATGCAGACCACCACGCAAATGAGATTTGTTTTTAGTACTAGTATTTGAGTCGTACACTTCAAGTTTTGTAGTCTCATTTTTTTAACTACAAGTTCAGTACTACGTAGTCTCATTTATTGTTACTCTACATCTTTGAGTGTGGCGCGGATGATCATCGTGACATGCGTGGCTCAATTTACGCCGGGATGTGGGCGCGGATGATCATTGTGGCACGCGTGGTTCAATTTACACCGGGATCAAAGTTGTGACGAGGTGGCGCCAGATCAATCACGCCGGCCACATTTGGCCACGCCTTCACGGCCCGCCACACCTGTGTGATTTTCCTGATAAGTTGCTACTTCGGCACCAATGTCTTGGAGAAGCTCCGTGGGCAGAGACAGTAATCCAGTCATCTTGTATACCAGGCTATATGAGTTTGTGCTCGTAGAGTTGGGCGCCTGACGTGTGAGTTATCGCGTTGTTATCGCGATTGCAAGGTTATTGGCTAAGAACGAAATTGGACATTGAACTTGAACCAAAGCTACAGACAAACTCAAACAAATACCGCACTGGTCCAAGTTCCAACTCTCAGCCTAACTTGAACGCCTCGACGAAAATGAGTGCTAAACGGCTCGCAGTCTCTTCAGGGATGGAGCCCATTAAAATCCACGGCAAGGGGGGAGCACAATTTTAATTTAATATATCATGTTGATTTTTTTGGTAAGGCCAATATGGCCGGACTAACCAACCAGGCGTGGGAACAACCTTCCATATATAGGTAAAATCTATAAATAGTAACATGTTTTGGGATGTCAGCCGCCATCTTATCCTTCATTTGCCACCCCTTCCTCTCCTTTTCTTCATGTTCTTACATGGGTCACAAACCCAGTCATTGATACCAAGATCCACTGGCAGTCCAACCCTTGAAAAGTGGTACTGCATAGTCAGTGGTCAGGCTGAAATGACATGAAAAGAAAATGACCTACCCACAATGTCTCGCAGCCTTTTTATAATTACTTTGCTTTCGTCCTCAATCAACTGCATCTATACTCTCACCACAATCACAATGTGGACAGATAACAGTTTTATCATCTCAAATATTATCCTCAATCTATATCATATACCAGGCTTCTTGGATCACAATTCACGAGTGAGAATAGCATAAGTACTGCACTTGGTAAGTGAGGACAGCTTGCAAAATGCCTCAGACAGCACACTGAGCTCATCCAACCCATAAATTACCTGAAATTGGTACTTAAAATAAAAAAATTTAACAGCCTGTCGGCCGGACTAACCAACCGACCCCATATGGCAGATTCAAATCCTGCTCCCCCCTTGATCCACGGGCTCTTTATGTAATAATGCAGAAAAACGATGGGAGTTCAAAAAACGTTGACCCTGCGAACCAGAGACCTACAACAGGGTTAGACTTTGGTTAGACCAGTTTCAGCGCTGGCCTTCCAAGTTACCTCCAAGTCGCTAGGCCGCAATGAGAATTTTGTGATGCCGCACTCGGGCGCGGCCTTTTCTGTTGGTGTGAGGGCATGCGACAATTTTAGCGGCTACCGCCCATGATAAAAAATCAAGAATGGAGAGATCTCCCGGTCAATTGGTTGAAGTCCTCAGCAACTTCGCCTCATTATTGTTATAGAGCATGACAGGCTGGGCGCAGAGCTTCGAGCATGCGGATACACGGCAACGCATGAGAGGCACCAGGAGACAGACATGTAAACGTTCTCCCGGCTTGACTGTGACACTTATGATTCAGTCAACCGTCTTGCGATCAAGTTGAACTTGCGATCTCAGAAAGGTTCTGAAAACCTCATCAACGCCGAGGGGGCCTTGTTGAGCAGTAGGTCAGAATCGTGACCACAAAAACTCGGCTGTGTGCTTACTTACAAGGCGCTAGACATTAATCGTTAGCCGGTTATAACAAAGGTTCGGGAAGATTCTGGTAGCACCACGCATACTATGCCAGTGGCATAAATCGACCAGACAACAAAGTTAATGGACGTTGGAAATTGGTTGGAAATTAGCCATGGCAAAGAAACTCAAATAAAACTGGATTCGCGATTCAACTTGAATGTCACTTCATAGCCATGAACATCCTCATGGTTTACAGATATCTCTCAAAATCGTAGTGCCATATATTGTGTTTCAGTCTTTTCTCCCGCCTGACCACGTAACGACCCCAGGAAGTAGTACCGACGACGTAGTGACTATAACTGGCATCCCACCCAAATCCCACCAACCACGCAGAATATCAGTATTCCCTAGATGTGCTAATGCGTCGGTACCCAACGTTCATACCCAAATCATCACACCGCAACTCAAATTCTTCACAAACTGTGGAAACGCGGAATGCATGACCGGGGGTGATCGGTCCATAACTTTTCACTCTGTTGGCGATCTTGCCATTCACCTGAGAAAGGTGGATACCAGCGGTATACCCACATCTGTCCCCTCGAGTGGATTCGGGAGAAGCACTGAGTAATTCAACAGCCCTCAGAACAGGTAGATTTGCACAAATGTCCAAAAGTAACCACTGTAAAAGAGGTTTAAAAGCGTACGACTGGTTATGAATTGAAACCATACGATTGCATTGCGATTGCCTGTGCCAAGGGATGAATGCTCTTCATCACTGTCGCTGAAAACAGGTGATGCGCAGATGAACACTGGCAGAGGTGACTGCTGTAAACGCGGTTCAAAAGCGCACAACTGGTCATGAATTGGGAACATACCATTGCATTGCGATTGCCTCTGCCAGGGTATGAATGCTCTTCATCACTGTCGCCGTCGTCATCATCTCCATCTTCGTTTCCATCCTCATCCTCCGAGTCGGCGTCATCGTCTGTATCCTCGTCATCGTTATCGTCGTCCTCTTCTTGGAAACGTACAATTGCATTGTGATTGCCTCTGCCAGGGTATGAATGCTCTTCATCACCGTCGCCGTCGTCGTCATCTCCATCATTGTTTCCATCCTCATCCTCGGCGTCATCGTCTGTATCCTCGTCGTCATCATTTGTATCCTCGCCAGCGTCATCATCATCCTCTTCTCCGATGTCCTTAGAGTCAATGGATAACTTGAGAGATGTAAGGCATGCACATTGTTTTATTATGCCGGAACAGTGGTTCGCAAAGCACCAATTCCCTTCATATCCTGCGTCGATTTCAAGGGATTCGAGGGAACGGACGTGGTTTTGTAGAGCCCGTTCGTAAAACATGATGGCAAGCTGATCGGACGTCGGTGGCGACTTGGTATACCGTGAAGCATATGTAAGTCTAAGACACCGAAGCCCGGAAAATGATGTTAGGTACTCGATGAGGGCTAGTTGGACGTCATCAGTGACGATATCCTGGAGATGTATGTTTTCCAACCGCAAAGACGACCAAATGTTTTCTGTGGAGGATCCAGGATTTCCCGAAGCTTGATCCTCGGTCGAAAAAATATTTCGAAGGTGGAGGGAGATCAACGATCTCAAATGGGGTATCAGGGTGGCGTCCAGTTTTACAAACAGCCCACTCAAGTTCAGATGTGTGATGTTCAAGAATGCTGAATCGGGTATCTCAGAGAGAAAGTCACTGAGCTTTTGTATGTTCTTCTCAGGGTAGTATCACTGATTATCGATTGTGAGGGTTTTCAACTTCGGCTGATTCCAACCAATAAATCCGAGTCTCGCAATGGGGATAATGTTGCTGGGATCGTAATCCGCGCTTGTGAAAGAGAAGTTTACTATGTGTGGCAACTGTCGTAGCTGCCGAGAAGATTCTGGAGCAGACCCACACTTCAGATGGAGATCCTGCAAAAGTGGAAGTGACGCAAGGGCGTCGAGGACTAGAAGAACTGCCCACTCTGGGTCGGAGGCGCCCAGATCCCAACTAAAACACATTAATATGTGCTCTGAAGGAGGGCATTGGACTTACATGACTCTTCGAACCCCAGTCAAGGACGCAACTGCTGGGAAGAGGAATGACCTAACCTTGGCCTCCTCTCCTGAAGGTACATCCTCGTCGTCTCGGGGATATAGACCGTGAATTTCAAGACAGGTGGCATATTTCGAGGCGGAAGTCGGCTTTGGCTCAGTGGTAGCAAGACTCTTGACCTGAGATGACAGATGTATCGGCGATAACTTGATCGTTGACAAAACCTGTGGCTCCCATGCAAAGTTAATCTGTTTGCATACTAAACGCAGAGCCTTTCTAGGATCACGATAATAATGGATCCTACAACTGGGACTCATTGCCACAATCCGAACCTCCGGCGAGGTTGCTACTTCAGCACCAATGTCTTGGAGAAGCTCCGTGGGCAGAGACAGTAATCCAGTCATGACTCCAGCAATTGTATACCAGGCTAAATGAGTTTGTGTTCATAGAGTTGGGTGCTTAACGTGTAAGTTATCGCGCTGTATCGCGATTGCAAGGTAATTGAACAAGAACGAAATTGGACATTGAACTTTTGAACCAAAGGTAGTGTACAAACAAGCTCAAACAAAATTCAACAGGTCTCAGCGCTGGCCCTCCAAATCGGTAGGTCGCAAGCAGCTCATCAAAAATAGAGGCATTGCTGACCAATTGCTGACCTACGCATAGTTTCCGTTTGGATGGAGAGTGTCCTTACCATGTTCTTGCTATAGCGCATGAAAATCCCCGTAAACCCCCCCGGGAAGCTGGCCCGAGCGCGTTTTGCGAGAATTCTGTGATGCCGAGCTTGGGCGCGGCCTTTTCTGTTGGCGTGAGGGCATGCGACAATTTTAGTGGCCACCGCCCATGATAAAAAAAAATAAGAATGGAGAGATGTCCCATCGATTGGTCGAAGTCTTCAGCGTCTTCGTCTCACAAGGGGGTAGCGGGACGTGGATCCTGCACCAAGGGTAGGAGGGGGGGGTGTCCGGCCGAAGGCCGAAAAAAAAAAGTGACACCCCATCAATTTTCAGATTTTGAAGGGCAGCGACATTCCAGCTTCGGACACGGACGGTCCAAACCAAGAGTACTATCACCTACGTCGACACACCCTACACTCCCCACGCCGCCCCAGGCCAAGTGCCTCTTCCTTCTCTGAATGAATTACACCACTCGGACACTTCACTTTCTTTCTCGGCCTACACATTAAAGAGTCACTTTTGAAGATTTATCACATGCACAGTACTGAAGAAATGCCCTCTCATTCTGTACCGTCAGTAGCCGTCAGTGTAGCTACTTACCCAGGATGATCCGTCTTTAAACAAGTTTTTTCAATATCATGCTAGCACAGGCCCGTTATATGCATCTTCAGTGGACTCGACTTAGCTTAAACTTAGTTTATGGCCAACCACCTGTGCGTAGTTGACTTGTTACATGTTGGTTACATGGAAATATTTTGAATTCAAAAAAAAAAAAAACATGAGTGTGGGAAAAACATACTTTATTAAGAAGGTAATGGTGGGGGGGTGTCAGGCAGAACCCTGAAAAAAAAATAACGAGTGTTGGTCTCTTTTCCACATTCCACCACCCCCTTGTCATCTCACTCTTGTTATAAAGCATCACAATCTGGGCGCGGAAGATAAGAATGAAGATCAAAACTATTAGGCTAAGAGATCAGCGCTAGCTTCCAGACTATTTTCTTCGGGTACAGTTGTCGATAGCATCATCTCACTCTTGATCTTCTCTTGTTCAGATCTCTTTCCGAATGGTACAGGGTACGATCGCGTTACACAAAAATTAGTTCCGATCGCGCACCAACCTACTTCATTATCTCGTTGAACAGTGAAACTCATAAATTTAGCCCTTCTAGGTACTTCTCAGTCGTCGCCCACAATTCATCCCCCAACGCCTTATTTCCGCCATTCTTCGAGGTCGACGCAACCTTCCCAACGGGCTCCAAATACGCTTCTCGATACCGATCAAGATTTTTCCTGACCACTGGCGATGCAGCTGCAAAACAAGAATTGTACGCCCCTTCATCTGGGTGTTTGAGCATCATTCCCGTCAGCCTCTGAATGAACCTAAGGAATGGGAGTCGGCTTGTAAATGTATCAATCATTCCTGGGTGCAAGGAGATGCTGATAATGGAGGAAGAGGAAGCGTCAAGGTGACGTTGGAGCACATTCGAGAAGAGGATGTTGGCTAGTTTGGACACGGCTGAGAATTGGGATGGTTAGAGGTTATTTGGTCATGGAGAAATCTGGTCATGGAGAAACTGAGTTTCATACGGTATCTTTTGAGGTCTGAGCGGAAACCCGATTTTGTTCCGTAGCATAGCTGAAAATCCTCGATTGACGAAAAACGCAGTTTTAGATCCATGGCTCGTGGTAACCCGGGCCGTGAAGGGCTGATGATAACTACATCCGATATCTGTATTCATACTTGATGCAAGGGAGAATCAAATTACTCACCATAACGATTCTAACATCCGAATTATTCTCCTTGGAGGTTTTTTCGAGCAAAGGAAGCAAGGTTTTCATGATTTGAAAGGTTCCGATGTGGCTAGGGTGTGCTGAATGAATTCTCCATGCAAGAAAGCCACGGCGCAATTTACTTAACCATCAACACCTCACAGATGCACAACAGATGCCTGCTTAGAATTTTATTTCAATACTATAACGTGAAAGACGGGGTGATGTTGGGGTGGCGGTAGTACCATCTTGGGTCGGTTTGGTTGGGTCTTCAAATAATCTAAGGGGGAAAGCTTTAGCAACCAATTAATAACTCACTCAAGCACCTACACAGCCGCCAGCGGCATTGTTAACTAGCCACATAGACAAGATTAAATTTCCCACAGGGACATGACAAGAAAAGCCTTCTCGGACGTACTGAGGACATCAACTCTTTCCTCCTTGCTCAGAAAAGTCTCTCCAGACTTCTTTGCTAACGCTGGCGTGCTGAGGTTGAAGTTGGGTTGCAGAAAAGCCAGACCACGTCCCCTGAACTTCTTTCAATTTAGCGATGGTTTTGCACCTTTCTCCTTGGTCCACGTGCCCAGGTAAACTTTAGCACCGCGGCGAGCAAGGTGTTTAACTGTGGCATAACCGATCCCTTTGCTAGAAACGAATGTGAGCTGTCATTACAATGAAGGAAGTCGAAGCTCACTTTCCACCAGTCACGATAATTACTTTGCCAGAGAGGTCTTCGAGGTCGGTCAACGGGTTGAACTTTTGAGACCAGAACATTTGACGTAGAGTGAGGAGAGATGCCTCAGAGTAGTCAACGAGAGGTACATGGGGTGTGGCCAGTGGTGTGCACTAGCAGCTTCTCCGTCCCTTTGTATCCCAATTTCAAGGCGACTATTTGGTTGGCGCATATCAGTCCTTCTCGCTGCATTCTATGCCTCAAATACCCATAGTTGCACGTTCCGTGATGAGTAAGCTTGAGGAACGAGAGCATGCTCATATTAGGATAAGATAATGTTTTGTGTCAGAACCAGACATTTACATGTACAAATACTAATATATGTCTATGTTTCGGGGAGTGCTTCTCCCCATCACTTGGATCTGGTTCTGACATGAAGAAATTACTTGTCGGTTACCTCCTTAAAATTTTCGAAAGACTTCTTGAGCTCCCTGCAAAATTTTGCATCTCGCACTATGGTCGACACAATCACTGACAGCACTCTCACCCCTCAGCCTCGTGTGCCGCACACCCACACTTCGCCTACAATTATTCAGCTCTTAAAAAACCTCTCCCTACCCAACATTTTACAAAAAAACAAGAACATTGAGGCTGACAACGATGCCAGATCCGCCAAGACCTTGAATCATGCTCTAGACCCAGCTGGTCATCCTGAGCCGGGATCAGAAGTCGCTTCATTGATCACCATTGATCCCGAAGATCTTGCCTGATTAAGGATCCTGTCCTTCTTTGCCTCCGTTCGCGAGCATGTTTACAACACTTTGGCGAGGCACAGGCTAGCCGATGATGAACTTAAAGAAAAGGAGGAGAAAAAAAGGAAAGACAACGATGTCTCTGCAGAAAGTCTCAGACTCTCCAAAAGGTGTTGCATGGATGGAACTAATCATGTAGAAAGAGTTGTGGGGGAGCCAATTCCCATTGAATTCCCGCAATCTTTATATGACACTGAAATCTGTGTTGCAGTGCCACTTCCCTTCTTCCTCACCCAGAATCTCCGATCTCTGATTGATGAAGCTTCGACCCTCCCTACCGTCAAATCAAACCCTGCACCTGGGGAAACAAAGGGTACTTATATTCTTAATTTAGACAAACTCTCAAATCATTTTGGGAAAGAGCTGTCCCTCACATGCAGCCAATGGTCCGAAGCAGCTGCCAACATGTGGAGCTTCCAAATCTCTAGGGACAAGTCGGGTGCAGATGGAGAACATGCTGCTTGGTTTGAAAAACACTTCAATTTTTTTAACACGTTGAACAAAAGGGACGAACTCTATGACACGTGGAAAACCATGGAGTTAGAATTCCGACAGGATCACAGGAGCCGGCACCTCAAATTTAGTGCTCCAGACTATGACAAGGCCCTGGGCCTGACCAAGGAGACCCACAAACTTCGGAAGGAATTCCAAAAGGAATTCCAGGAATTCGTCATCACTTCCCAGACGGCAACTCCGCGGTCAGGGCCACCCTACCACGGTACTTCTGGACCTCCCACACAGAGGAATTTGCCACGAGGCTCCTTCCAGCCCTTTTCCTCAGGCAGCGGCAAGCCCTCCTCCAGCGCTGTCTGCCTCATCTGTGCGCAAAGGGGGCACAACCTCTTCTTCCACCAAAAGGCCACCATCGTCAAATTTGCTGACAGCAAAGCGGTCTGCGCAAAATGTAGCCCAGGTGCTGGACTCATCACGCCCGACAACCTCACCATTTGCATCAACTGGAACGTTCGAGGCGCTGACGCCGCTCCCCAATGCGCCGCCCTTCACAAAGACGACCGCCTCCATCTATGTTCCTTCTGCAGCAGCAAGAGCCATCACGCTCTCTTCTGGACCTGTCGCACCAAGACCGCTTGAAGAATTCCTTTCTGTGTCAACCCCTCCTCGTCTCGAATACACTGATTTTTCCCATTCTGTTTTCCCTCGCCTTCCCCTACCGTCATCTACTTCCTTTCACTCTTCAATATTTGCACATGTTCCACACCCTTACAACCCTGATGCCTTCGAGTCCCTCTTGCTTAAACATGATCTTTTATCTCACTACCCCCTACTTCCTGGCAATCTCAGGCATGGTTTTCCCCTCAGACACATGCCCGCACTGACGAATGGCGTCGTCCTCCCTAACAATCCATCCACCTTTGCTTACATGTCCGACATTCAGGACTATCTCCAAAAGGAACTTCTGGCTGGCAGAATGTCTGGCTCTTTCTCTCGCAAAGAGACTGAACTTATTCTTCGTGGCCCTTTCCAAGCTTCCCCCCTTATTGTCTCGCTCCAGCCCCAGCAACGTGGTATGCCTGATAAAGTCAGAATCTGCAGACACCTTTCTAAAGCTTCCAAACTGCACGCTTCTGTGAACTCGCATATCTGCAAAGAAGACTTTCCGACGTGTTTCGACCTCGCATCAAAAGTCGCAGAAATTGTGAGTTCTCATTCCCTCAGTCTCTTCCCCCTCCATTTTCTCTCGTTTCATTATACGCCCTTTTGCATTTTGTGCGTAGGGTTGTTTTCTTCTTCTGTGCCATACACACATTCAGATTTTGCATCCTTTATGTGTTATCTCGGGCTCTTGCCCACCTATCTCTGGCGCACCCTTGCGCAATGTTGAACACACTTTGTGTTCCTCCCTTCCAACATCTCATGGTGTCCCCTCCTTGCATGGACTCTTGTCCTCATTCGCATATCTCATGGTCGAACACACTTCGTGTTCCTCCTTTCCAACATCTCATGATGTCCCCTTTCTTGCACGGACTCTTGTCCTGTTCGCATACCTCATGGTTTTGCCCACTCCCTCACTTCTATCTTCTGTATCCCTCTTTCCTTCATGACTGAGGCTTACACATGCATGCAGATTGCCTGGCC